TCATCTGTATCGGAGCTGTCGGCCTGTTGATTCTTTTTGGTCGACTTCTTTTTCGAGGAAGTGTTCCCCGTAGATTTCTTGACATAAGTGTCAAGATCACCTTCCTCAGCCAGACGGTCCAGATACCGCATGAGACTGATGCATTCATTGGTGTGATGACCAACATCTTCATGATAATCACAGAATTTTTCTTGGTTCCGATTGTTTGCAGAACCCTTCATGGGTACCGGCTTCTCAATTGAGATCCGTCCCTTGATTTCCTTTAGGATAAATTGCCTATCCTTGTTAAACGCATACTTTGGGGAGTATGGTTTGTATTCTTTTTTCTTCTTCTAGGCCGGCTGTTTAGAGGAATCAGTTGCCCAGACCTCTTTTCTCTTCTCGTCTTTGTTTGACGACTGTTTCTGTCGTCCTTCTCTTTTGTCGGACCTTTTCCCTTCTGACTGTTTTACCGTACTACAAAGATCAGTCGCCTGTATATAGGCTTCCGCTTCAATCAAGGCCTCTTGAAGAGTCGCCACCCTCTTTCGGACCAAATCAAATTTGAAGGTCGACCCGTCTTTGAGACCTCTGAAAAAAGTCAGTGTAGGCTACTTCATCCGGTAACCCTTGAATCTGTATTCTCATCAGGTTAAACCGCCTGATGTAAGAACGAAGCCCCTCCTTCTCGCCCTGCTGAATCGTTCCTAAATCAAGGGTCGTCTTCTTCGCAGGGATGTTCATGGCGAAGTTGGAGGTGAATAAGTAAGCAAGCTTCCTGAAGTTATTTACACAACCAGTCGGCAGGTTGCCGAACCATTGTTGTGCGATTCCTTTGAGAGTCGCTGGGAAACACTTGTACCAAGTGGGATCATCCAACCCTTGAAGGTACATCAGGTTGGTGAATGCCATCAGATGGTCTTCTGGGTTAGTAGTGCCGTCATAGGCGCCTACTAATACATTTTTCACTTTGGCCGGCTGAGCGGCTTCAGTAATTTCCTTGGAGAAGGCCGACGGCTGTTCGCCAAGTCTAAGCAACCGTAGCTGCCAGTCCATAGGTTGGACATTTTTTGCTGCATGTCCACCAAACGGAGGTGGCTGCAAAAAATAATGTTGTTGCGGTACAAACGGTAAGTTTGGTACCGCCTAGTCGCTATGAAAGTCGGACTGACGGGAGGTGCCGCCTGACTGACTCTCATGATACGACTGAGTATGCCTCATCGAGGTATTGCGCAGACTGTCTTGGAAGTTTGAAGTAGAGGCCGACTCTGACAATCGGTCACTCTTCTTCTGCTCTAGCAGTAGCCGAGCATCTGTGTATGTTTTCCTCGACCCGTCCGCCTGAATATGACGAACAGGTTTCCTCTTTCCTGGAGTAGGAAAATGGTATTTTGTGAAATCAAGGGCAGGTGGCTCCCACTTCCTAGATTTAGGATGAGGGGTCGCCTCTCGCCCTTGAACTGGCTTCCTCTTCCGTGAAGTGGAGGGTTTCTTAGCCGACTGCTCCTCGTCCAGAGCAGGCGGCTTCTTGTTGATCGACTCTTGAATTTCTCCCTTGAAGTCCCTCATGAAGGTCATGAGTTCGTTCCTTGTGATGGGAGCAGACCCATCAGTCGGCTGCTGCCGAACAGGCGGTGCGCCTGCTGGCTCACTTCCAGTTTGAAGATGTTCCCGTTCCCTCCTTTCGGTATGACGGTTATGCCGGGCCCTTAGGGTCCCGTCTGAAGCTGTGTGAGCTTCAACTTCAAATTCATTCTCAGTATCGTGGTCCGACTGAACTAGAGGGTCGTCCAAGGGACGCCTCTCTTCAGGAGCCGGTACAAACGTGGATGCCATCTCAGAAGTACTCTCCCCACAGACGGCGCCAAAATGTTTCAGGGTTTTCTGATGTCCTGCGGGAGAGTTACAATTCCGAGACTGGAACCGGACGCCTGTACCTGCAAAACAAACGGATGCTCCGGATGATTGGAGATCCGCCTCCGACGGTCAAGTTAGTACTTGATTAAGGAGTAATTAATGCGGAAATTAAAGTGATTGGGTCTCTCTAGGTGAGAGTGTTTAATGTGTGTAATCTGCGTAATCCCCCTTAATGAGGATTAAGGGGGGTATTTATAACCTCGGGAAACGTGCCAATCCTAGGTTTAAGTTAACCTTGGGCTGATTGGGCTTCCCTCGGAAGTTGGGCCTAGGTGGCCGACTTCTCCATTAGGCATGGAGTATGCCACGTGTCATGACATAATAGGTCCAAGGTGGACGAATAAGCGTGTGCCACGTGGCAAGCCCTGAGAGGTCCAACCGGGGGACACTTGGCAGGACCTGATTGGCCCACGTGGCGCATTCCGATTGGTGGGAGAAAAATCCCCTAATCATCATGAGTTCACTTCTAGTGATGGGAGCAGATCCCTCGGCCGCCTGTTGATGATCAAGCGGCTGGCCGGCAGGTTTACTAGATCCAACCTGGCAATCTTTTCGTTCCTTCTTTTCAGAGGAACGAGTTCGTCGAACTCGTAAGGTCCCGTCTGGGGCCGTATGAGTCTCAACCTCGACCTCATTGTTAGTATCCTGGTCACTATAGACCTGAGGGTCGTCCATAGGACGAGTCTCGCTCTGATTCGGTACAGTTTGTGATGCCATCTCGAAAGTACTCTCCCCACAGACGACGTTAAAATGTTTCGGGGTTTTTTTATGTCCTGCGGGAGAGTTACAATTCCGGGACTGGTATCCTTGCGCCTGTACCTGCAAAACAACGGAGACTCCTTGTGGTGGGAGTTCCGCCTCCGACGATCAAGTTAGAACGTGTATGAGGAGTGAATAGTGCGGAAAAGTAAAGGTTGGGAGATCTGGTTCCTCTAGGTGAGGAGTAATCTAAGTGTTTAGGTGAGTGTAATTAATGTTCTTGACCCCATTAATGAGGATTAATGAAGGTATTTATATGCCTTGGGATGTGTGCCAGTCCTAGGTTTAGGTCAACCTAGGGCTGATTGAGATTCCACAAGACTTTGGGCTTGGATGGCCGGTTTTCCCATCTGGCATGGGGGGAGGCCACGTGTCGTAGCATAAGTGGTCCAAGGTGGACTGATCAACACTTGACACGTGGCAGGCTCCAATTGGTCCATGTGGCGGACACTTGGCAGAGGCTGAATGATCCGCTTGTCAGGTGATGATTGGTAGGGAAAAATCCCCTAATCACTTACCCATCCAGAATCATACTAATTTGATCGTTGGAGGCGGAAATACACCCAACCGGAGTTTCGTGGTTTTGCAGGTATAGAAGTCAAGCACGCATACTCTGTATTGTAACTTTCCCGAGGGACTAAAAACACCCGAAACAGCTCACATTCCACCCGCCTCATTAAGGGCATTTTTGTAATTTACGAGTTGATTGACCTTCGTCCTAACTCATACGTTGCTTCATTTTCTCTCTCTCTTCTTCTGCATTTTCTCTCTCCTCTTGCAAATTCTCTATTTCGATTTCGTGTCATCAATTTTGCAAATTCTCATCTCTGATTATTGTTGCTTAGGAAAATTAATGGGCAGGTAAGTTGATTTATTTTCATTTTTGTTGTTGCTTTGATTCAATTCGATTTTGAAACAAGTTTTTGCGAATTTGATTGCGAAAATTAGGGTTTTCCCAATTATTTGTTTCTGTATTTGTGATTATACTTCATATTTTAGGGATTTTGCAATTAAATGTTTTCATATTTTCAAGTTAGATTGTTGAAATTAAGGTTCATTTTTGATAATTTTTGTTCGATTGATTTTTTTGTTCGCTTATTTTAATCAGATTTATGATTCCATATTGTTTTGGTAGTAATTTTATGTTCTATTGTTATTTGGTTGTAATAATTATAATTCGTTTGATATAGTTTATACATTTTAATTGCTAAATTTGCAGCATTCTGGTTTGATTTTTTTTTTTTTTTCTGAAGTAATTTATATTGGTGCTTGATTGTGGCTTCAAAATCTAGATTTGGTTAGGGATATAATGAGGTGTTCAATCATTCAAGGAAGCTAAGGTACAATCGGCTTCTGAAGTAATTTGAAAGCTACAATTGCTCATTACAAAGGTCAGGTCCTTACTTAGAGGAAGGTAAGCTAACATCCTTCACTTCCTCACGTGGCCTAAACTATTTACTTTTGAGCCTAAACTATTTATACTTTTGAGCTTATATTTTTTTACTTTTGAGTTGATGATAATGATTGAGTTTTGTATTAAATTTGGTTATCTTGCTGCAACCAACATTGTTGTTGAAGTGCAACTGTGCAAGCAACATAGTAGAGTATCTGATTGTATAGTCTGCAAAAGTTTTGTTAGCTATTACACGTAGAGTATCTGATAAAAGGTCTTTAAAACAGATTGGCAGTCCTCATTTGGTGCAATTCATTAACGACTTGCATAATAAACCTTAGTTTATACTTTTATCACTGTATGTAGCTTGGAAAGTGGCTCAGTTGTTTAGGCACCTCTGTGGTAACTGGTAAGTGTACTGAACATGTTCATGGAAGTAGATTTGCAAGTCAAAGTAGATTTTGGCTATATTTTTTTATATAATATCTTGGTCTTATATTTTGTTGTTGTTTTTGGCAAACTGGAATAACTTATGGTATTGGCTGTTCACAATCCCTTTTGTTTCCTTTATTTTATTTTAGCTTCCAATTGTTATGAGGTACTCTTTTGAAACGTTTGTTAAGCAATATTCCCTTTTTTAATATTACTTATTCGGTTATACATACAGATGTTACGTTGATATATCATGTCAGTTGTGTATCTAATGCAAGAATCAAATTAATACATGTATGTGTTAACATTACAAGGCATTTATCAAAGAACAAGAGATTATATCGCCGTTTAGATTAAATTCTCTTTAACTGTCCTTTACTTCAATGGATCTCTATAAACCAGCCCCCGGCCGTGGATTTTTTCTAGCATGGGCTTGTTTGGGAACAATAGGAAGAAGAAAGTTTCTGATTTTGATCACATTTGTTATACCATCAGAGTTGGCCTTGTTCAAGGTTTATGGATGGTGGGAGTGATTGATCAACTCCGGATGCCTGATAATGGGGAAGGAAGAAAGTTAACATTAGTTGATACAAAGACGCATGGTCAACCAATGCTTCCTGCTGAACCACAATACAGAAATGGAAGGTATTTACTAAGATATGACACAAGGCCTTACTTATATTAGCTTGTTAGTTTGACAATACCCTTCGTTTATTTACTTTTTTTTTTAATTCTTTCAGGCTACAATTGAAGTTCTATAAGCATTTGTGGGACAATATGGTTTCTAATAACTTCCCTTCTAAACAATTTTATGAACATTTTTCCATGGATCCTCAACACAAATTATCTGATGAAGTGAAGATGAATGCCACTGATTCAGGTTTTCCTGCTCAGGTATGATTGGGATTTTCCTGTTTAAAGGTGAATCACTAATTGATCTTTGTTAGAATATAATTATCTTTGGGGGGGGGGGGGGGGGGTGGGGGTTGGAACAGTGTTCTTGATTGGAGTAAATGAGTAATCCTTCCCTAAAGGAGATCAGGGCCACTGTTGGGGGTCCAGAGACATTTCAGGTGGATGGCGTATTGGCATGTACGCTCCCTTTACTATGACATATCTAAGCTACTTTGTTATTAGAGTCATATCGGAGTTGTTTTCTGTTTAGATGTACACTACATTGATAATCTTAATTCTTCTACTGGTGTTTTGTTAATCAAAATGCTCTATTAGATTGCAATACTCTCTTCAGAACCACTCTTTTCTTACCAAGATATAGGGATATAAGGGGTTCGTTTAGAATATATGGAAACATGCTTCATACATCATAGCCAAAATTTCTTAACTGGGTATGTTGTATATAGGATTCTCTCTTTGTACTAATAGTTAAAGATATTAACAGCAATCAAGCGTGTTTTGCTACTACCCTCCGAATGAGCTGTTTGATATATATGCTGCAGAAATCTCGGATTCAGAAGCTACTTAATCATCCCGGATTCAGAGAGTATATTTACTTTTTGAGTAATTTTCTTTACTTCGACAATATACACTAGCCTACTAGCTCAATAGGTAGAGCATTGTGCAAGTGCACAAAAGATGTGGGTTCGAATCCAAGAGTGCAGCCAGGCAGGAGCAGCAGAAGCATGAGCAGAAGTAATATTATTTATTTACTTTAATGATGTCTTAATTTACTTTTTAGCCTTTTATATTTACTTTTGAGCTGAGGTATTTTGAGTTCAACACTTTATCACCAAACAGTGACAGGCCCCATCTCCAACTCCAACCCCTACCCAGATACGAAATAAAAGAACAAAACTATGTTACCATAACCAAAGGCTTTATTGCAGTTACTTTATAGATTATTTTATTTACTTTTAAGATTATTTGGTATACTATTGAGTAATTTTTTATTTATTGTGAATGTTTTACATAGACTAGCCTACAAGCTCAATTCTTCATTTGCATGACTTATTTTCTCTATACAATTAGTACTACTTAAATAGATTGATAATACTAGCCTACTAGCTCAAGAGGTAGAGCATTGTGCAAATGCACAAAAGATGTGGGTTCGAATCCCACGTAGGTTGATTTGTATTTACTTTAAGATATACTTTATTTACTTCAACTAATTTTGTATCTACTTTTTTTACTTACAAACTCAAGCTCACTTATCCAAGGATTAAAGGTATGACAGAAGGTTCTATCACTTATACTAGATATTTAAGCATTCATAGCAATTAGAGATTGTCAATAAGCATTTCTTCATAGCAATTTTTTTATTATAGAAGTAGAGAAGGTGAATTTCATTTCTATTTACTTTAATAAATATTTTATTTACTTTAACTTATTTTGTATCTACTTTTATTACTAGAAACTCAAGGTCACTTATCTAAGGAATAAAGATATAAACATGTTGGTAAACTAATACCCTGCTTTTTGTTTTTAGCAATGTGCACCCTAGACTGAATAGTTGTGAGTAGATATAATATACTTTTAAGTAAATACTATTTACTTTTGAGTTAATATTATTTACTTTTAAGTAAATACTATTTGCTTTTGATATATTTTTGAGATGTTTTGAATTACTTTAGAATGTTTTATATTTACTTTTAGAGGTAACCTATGTAGGAATCAAACCTACAACTCTATGCATCCGCATAGTGCTCTACCACTTGGCCTAATAGGTTTACTTTAAAGTCTTTTTTATTCACTTTAAATACTTTTTTATTTAATTTAGACAACTACTATAGGAATCTACATTTTCCAACCTTATTCATCTTTTGTATTTTCAAACCCAATGTAAACCAAGATGAGCTATTAACAACCACACTAACGTGAGAATTCCCCGCCTTTGCTTTATTGCACGCCATGGAACTTGGGTGAACAAAGCATAGCAGCATCACATAACAGCTCCACCCAAACCTTGCTTGTTATCTCCCATTGAATGTCACCGAATGTTTTTAGATGCTTTGTGAGAAGACAAGCATCTAGAGCAATTCCAGTTCCTGCAATTCCTGCAATTCCAGTTCACCTCAACTGTTTTTGATTTATTTACTTTTGAGTGTTTTTTATTTACTTTTGAGTGTTTTTCATTTACTTCAATGCTGTTTAATTTACTTTGAGCGTTTTTCATTTAGTTTTAGAGACAACCTATGTAGGAATTGAACCTACATCCCCTATGCATTTGCATAGTGCTCTACCACTTGAGCTAATAGGTTTTAGTACACCTAGTAACAATCTAAAGCATAATCGATAATCTAAATATAGAACAAGCAACTATTACATAATAAGATTATTTCATAGAGCTCATCTCTCATCAGCATAGCTATTTTCCTAGATTTACTCTTTTATTTTATTTTCTTTTTACAAAAATCAATTCCAGTTAGCAATTTTCATTAAAATTTGAAACCATCTCTTGGCAGTAAAAAACTACCAGACAACATTCCAGAAGCTATTACTAGTATCAACTCCTAAATAAAGCAAAACCTTGTAAATATGTTAGTAGTTTAGAATGTTTGTCAATTATCTTCAAAATTTTAGGCTGAATTATGTTTAAGAGTTTAGATGTTGAGTGTCCATGCAAGATAATGTTTGGTACTGACTGACACTAGAGAGCCACATGACTTGAACATATGCAGAGTGAATTAATTAATAGCTAAGAAAAAGAGGTTCCTAGTTCATCGTATGTACTGAAGAGTTATTTTACAGCAGTGTTTTAATCCTGCAAATACATTTGCTGCTAACTAAAATGTAGGGAATTGCACTATATAAGTAATGAAAGCATTCTGTGTTTACCAGGTACTGCAGCAACAATGTTGATTAGCGCCAGAATGTAGATTGCATGGACTACAACCTACACGAGCTTTATGCAACTGGCACATTGCAAGCACTAAAAACATCATCTAATGGGGCATGGTCTCCGATTCCTTCATCTTTCCGAGCATACAACAGTTTCTTCCCTTTAAAGACAAACATTCCTCCCTGGAAGAAAAATACAAGGGTCAAGTTACATTCCCTGTTTTGCCCGGCGAATAATAAGATCTTTCATTAGGGTAAATGTATAAATTCATAATCAACCTGTTGCAAAACACTACTTCTGTCGTTAGGTGTAGCTTGAATTGTATAGTTCTCCATAGCCATTTTCAGGGATTCAAACCTTGAGAAAACCTTTGTCTGTCAGATTAAAACCAAGTGAATTATTGATTAAAAACATGATTTAACTTGGGGGTAAGCAATATTTCAGGAAAAATGGTTGAAATATTATACACTGGCAGGATTGAAGAATGTCCGACCAAGACCATAGTACAACCCCAATAAATCATATGCCTGTAATAACAAGCATTTCAATAAGTATCTGTATTGAGAAACTAGCAGTAAACTCAGCAAATGATAGTTAATGACAAAGAAGAATTTACCCTGCGTTCAGGATCAGCATATAGGCACTCCATAGGAAACGGTAACTAAATATATAAATGATAACGTATGAGTCTAAATGAAATAAGGCATTGAATCAAATGACCTAAACTGGAAGATCAGAAAGGCTAATAAGCAACAATCAATATAACAGAGAGGTGGAAATTCTCCTAACTGAAACAATCAGTTAAATGAAACTCACTAACATCAACACCACCATCAGCAGAGAACACCACCATGAAGAACTGGTAAAGTAAAATGTAAATTTGATAATAGGATTCATTGGGACATTTTATCAAACAGTTAGTGTGCATTTACTTGATTTTGCTTAAATTCAGATGAAATTAAGCACAAATTAGCGAAATACAAATACCAAATTTCGAGAACTGAATAAAATGAATCCGCCAAATTTCGAGCAAAAATTATCAGAATCGAGACTTAAATTCTGCAAAAAAAAAAAAAAAAAAAAAAAAAAGAATCGAGCCTTAAATTGAAAAAAAAAATCCAAAGAGAAGAAATTATAACGTTGAATTGAAATCATTATCAAATTATACCTAATTCAAGCACAATAAACTTCAAACATTATCAAATTTTATAAATCCAGATAAAAAGAGCCCTAAATTGACAAAAACAATTAACGATAAAACCAATGAAAATGGAATTCGTGATTTAATTTTTTAAAAAAAATAAAGAAAAAAACAAATATCTTACCGCAGAAGCTGCTTCATTGGAGTAGAGAAAACTCGAAAGCCGCTTCAATGGAGAATCCAGAGGACTCGTTGCAATGGAGGAGAGAGAAAATGCTTGAGGAGAGAGAAACTCGCGGATGAGAGGAGAGAGAAACTCATGAAAGTGAAAATCGCTGATTTAATTTGGGCCGTTAGATCGTGCGCTTTTGGTGTTAGATCTGACGGTCCAGGTTAGTTCCTAGTTTCTAATTATAGGATTGGTTCTCATTATAACCTGGTCCTATATATATATATATAAACGGAGTCATATAAGACCATACCTCTTATGTGGGAACCTGGTATATGTTAGGACATATTACAACCGTTGGATCAATTGCATCCAATGGCTACCATTATTCTGGTCTAATATTTTTTCAAAAATAAATTTCTATCGTTTTCTCTCTCCTCCTACAATTTTTCTAATATCTGCTCTCTTCCTCTCTGTTATTTTGCTCTGATTCTTTATCAATTCTTCTTTAAACTTCATTGATTCTTCGTCAAGGTGAATTTCGTTGATTTTAGTTTGATTTTCGTTTTTTGATTAGTTATTAAGTTGATGTTAGTTTTAGTTATTAAGTTGATTCTTCTATTTGTATTATTGTTCGATTTTGACTTGAAAGCCTAGAAATCTTGAATCGCCAAATTGATTTAAGTAAAGATCCTAATGAAGAATCGAAATCTCTTGTTTTACATATGAAAGAAAAAAAAAGTAAGTTTTTGTTATATACGAATTAGGTGGATGTAATTTTGCTTATTTTCCAGAATTTTGAGTTGTAAAAAAAAATTTGCTTTTTTCAAGAATTTTACTTGTTCAGTCTAGATTATACAGTTGTTTATTTGCTTCATTTTTGTTAATTTTCACTAATTTGTCCTTAGTTATACGATAGACATAGGGACCTCTACCATCATTAACTGTGTTATCAATCCGACCGCCCATAGAGGTGAATGCTAACAGAGAGTTGAAAGCTCTAATATTGTTTCGAAATTGTTCATATGGAAAAATTGACATTAGAAATGGCGGTGTCAAAGATAAAAGCGGAAATTTAACTTGCCCACTTTGCCAACAATGATAGAACCTTGGGTGTGTTTTACTGCTACCCTTTACCCTTTCTTCTATCCACATAAGGGCCTTACAATTAGGACACACAATTGTTCTAGGTCCAAACTCCCAACGTCTATCAAACTCACCTCTACGATATTGATGAGTCACTTCTGCATGCAAATGATTTATTTGAGTGAATCTCAAATTAACAATGCTGATATCAATAATGTGTGTGATTAAGTAGCTTGGCAAGGTGGTTACCTCTCCCCGCGACAATTTGCTCATCATGTCTAGCACCATATTCTATCCCATTATTAAGAGAGCCTTATGGAATCAAAGTTTATAAACTTTTAATATAATCCTTAGTCAAGGTATCAGTATTCTATAGTAAACATTAATGGTTTTTATAAGTACCATTCATATTGATCTCATTGGGTAATTGTTCCACTTCACGTGTCACATCTTGATATTGATGTGTAGATCAACGTAATTGCATCGTCATGATCGTGCTTCTTTCTTCAATAAGTAACGACGTCGCTTGAAAATAGGATATTCATGGTTTGTAGTGCGTTTGAATAGTAACCTTCGCCTAACAGCTAATCTAGCTTGTTTATGTTGCAAAAATCTCTCTAAATCGATAATTACTTGTACTTATGTCCATTCTTATCTATTAATTATACAATAACCAAGAAGGAAATATATTAGAACCGATATTATATTTTGAACAAACATCAATTAATAAATTAAGTTCTAACAATATAGTTTTTCATGTTAGTAGTTTTACATTGACATGTTTTATTTTATCCAAGTTGTTGACTTATACTTATTGTTAGTGAACCTACTCAACCAAAAGCTTAAAATGATAGTTGAGGCTGATGAATATGTTTTATACATTATCATTTATATTTATATTTTCAAATTCACCCATTTTATTTTGTATGTGTAGACTTATATTTATACTTCGTTTTCGTAAGTAATTAAACAATATATAAAAACTATCAATCAAAATTCTTAATAATTATATGTTACATAGTATAATTCTATTTTATATCTATACAATGTAAAGTGACATATTGTATAACATGTCCAATACAACAGACAAAAAAAAGTCTCAATTCACCTAAATATCCATGCTCATTCACATTACCAAAATTAAAGCAAAATTACTGTATACATACCTGTAGGGTCTAGTAAGATAAAGGCGAAAAGCAGTCAACTGATTAATAGATCATTCCAATATCTCTAAATAAATAAAGATTAATGGATCACTTAAAAATTTGTGTTGATGAAAAATAAAATACTAAAGTGAATTTACGATTTAAAATTGATTAGACGAAGCTAGATAACCATACATAAGAGAATTTGTTTATGATTGTATGGTGTAGTATATATATATTTGTGTAATTAAAAAAATGAATTTGTCTCCGTATAATAGGGTGGATTTTGAATATTGGGGTGGCATTAAAAATCCTATATATAAAGTGAAAAGGGGTTTTGGGTGTTAAATTTCACTTTCCCAAATTACCACTCTAAAAACATTTTTCTAAAAAATTATCATAAATTTTAAAAAAATCCACCACCGTGTCCTAAGTTTTTAAGATGATACAAAGTATATAAATATATAAGTACTTATTATACTCTAAATTCATCAAATGCTTTTTTTTATTCCTATATATCGTATATATAAAGTAAAAAGGGATTTTGGGTGATAAATTTCACTTTCCCAAATTACCACTGTAAACATTTTTCTACAAAATTCTATCATCATAAATTTAAAAAAAAATCCTCCATCGTATCCTAAGTTTTTAAGATAATACAATGTATAATTATATAAGCACTTATTATACTCTAAATTCATCAAATGTTTTTTTTAATAACAATTTTTAATTTTATAACTCTATAAATTCATCAACCCCTATCTTTTTTTTTTTTTTTGGTTAAATATTTAGATAGCCATAGGATTTGTATTAATTATGTGGTTTGAAATTTGGTGCCATGGTTCATTGTTGAGTAAGTGTTGTTAGTAAATGGTTAATTTTTAAAATATATTTATATGTCCACTGTATAAAAATTAGATGATTTTTTCTCCATAGCTTATTTTAAGTTACGTATGCATTGTAACGGCAATTGCAATATAATATGTTAAATCATCATTGATAAATTATAATATATATAACACAATGAAAGTCTTCATTAGTAGAATTTACAGCTTGCAAAATACTCCGTACATCAAAAGCATATATAATTACATAGATATAAATCTTCATTAGTAGAATTTACAGCATGAAAAGTATAATTTTTTTTTTTTTTTTGGGTCAAGAGCATAAAAATTATAATCAATGTATGCTGTAACCAGTTATAAATAATAAAGAACAGTTACTCTCATATTGTCAAACCAAAAAAAAAAAAAAATTAAAGTAAATTGACCCAACATTTTAAGTTTTTGTTGTACTTGTGCTATCTCCATCGCTTAGATTCTAATGTTCTATCCATCATCTTCCTCTTTATAGTTCACATTAAAATAGCTAATGATAGAATTATATATGGTCTTTAGCCCTTTAGTTGAACAAAAGTACTTGACATCAAAACCCTTTAAGCCAAATGCAAAATTTTCTTAAAAAAAAAGGTTACACACTTTAAAAAATGAACACATTAAATATTGTTCGGTATAAATTCAAATTTTCAATTTGATTTTTTACATAATAAAATTCTTCCTAGAAATTAAATTTACCTTTTATGAATCTACTCTCAGGCTCTCTCTTCATCTCTTCTCCAAAAATCAATTGACGAACATCATCATCTCCAAACAATCTAGCAGCATCCACCGAGCAATAAATTAAAGGATCTGCAGAATGAAGTTGTTGGGTATATGTTCACTTGTAAGCATTATTAGGTCTCCCTGTGTAAGTCACAAGAAGATTAATAGAGAAACTCCAAGATTTTATGAGATAAACTCCAAGAATCGGCCTTTTTTGAACTTCGAAATTAGATTTATGGCTATGGTCAAGGGCGTAAAGGGCTAGAGAGGGAAAGACTTAAGCTTGAATTCTCAAAGGAAGCAAAAGAAGACGAAACCCAAAAGAACTCGGAGGAAGAAGAAGTCTAAGTCGAGTGATCTGAGGTTATGTCGGAGGAAACCTAGCTTGCTTCTTCTTAAGTTTGATGATCTACCGTTAATGAAGGTACCAATAGAGAGAAAGAATCTCAAATAAAATGATTGAATGAATGGTTCAAGGTGATGAACACTACTAAGGTGGCAATGTAG